ATATATATATATATATATATATATATATATATATATGTGTGTGTGTGTGTGTGTGTGTATTTGTATGTGTATATAGAGTAAAGTGTATAAATAATATTACATTTTAAGCATGCTGAAATCTGGCTTCAAATATTGCTTTTTCTTTTTAAAATGAAGTGTATACAGTGTAGTTTTTAATATTTTTGAAAGAAGTCTCTTATGTTTACTAAGGCTGCATTTATTTGATCATAAATCGAGGAAAACCATTTAGTTTTTAAGTGATTGTGGATCCTGCTTTTTTATTTAAAGTTATTATGATTTTTTTCTGATCTACTTACCCTAATTATTGAGTGAGCGCAGTTATTTCACTTTTTTATATCTTTATATACAAATGACATTTAATCATGTAAACACATTTAAAAGTTATTTAACACTGTAAACATGTTTGCATAACTGTTTTTAAAAACAATTAGGTAAATGTGTTTGTTGCATTAAATGAATTGACTTCATACAGTATATACACAGTATATACAGTGGGGCCAAATAGCCACTATCAAAATCTTTCACTTTGCATTTTTTTCATAACAAATTATATTATCAACATAACAATTGAAAGCTTAAGCGAGACATGTACATGAATTTCAGAATCGTCTTTTCACTCTTTTGCTTTAATAACAGCAGCATTTGAGCTGCATGAGCTCCACAAGTTTATGATCCTGCTCACAGCCTGATGATCATGTTCTCCAGTATGAACATCTGAGGAGTAGCTCACATGCTCAATTTCATACTAGATTATATTTCTTGTTAATTCTATGTTAATAAATAAAAACCCTACCACTACTCCTACAACAAAGTTCTCAGATTTTTTATGTGGAGTCTGATGTTTGGACCCTACGGTATGTGTACAAACAAGTGGAGTACCAGCAATTCTTTTTTATGCAAGCATTAATTATGCTTAAGTTTTTGTTGTTGTTGTTGTTGTTGTTGTTGTTGAAAGACACTTTACAAGCACTTTTTTTACATCAAAGTCTTAAACTCTTGCATCATTACATACTGGCCTAGTGAGTTTAATCTTCTACCTATAACCCTGTTTACAGCAAAACAACAGCTTTTGTATTACTCAGTGTCATCTTATTCCTGTTAATGAACAGATATGTTGATAATTATAATTGTGTTCAGAATGCAGTCAGTTTGCAACACTTCTCCTGCCAGTTCAGAAGTGGCCATGGCAGACGTTTGCAGCAGATGAGCTGAGATCCTGTGTCTGGCAGCGATTTATTGCTATATAACCATAAGCCTGATAAGAAAGACTGTTTTGCAAGAATGGAGACCTGCTGTATGTAGCCAAAGCTGTCTAGTAACTCTGCATTGCACGTTTTCAGTGCTACTTTTCACACTTAACTCCGTCCTCCCCTTTCCATGTGACTTTGAGTGAGGTTAGTTAGAGACTTGAATAGCCTGAGATTGAACGAGGTGGCCCATCACTTTTCTGTTTGTGTAGCCATCACTCTCGTCCAGAGTGGTTTCTTCTTTGTAAGTTTACTGAGTGTGAGGCCTTTAAACTGCTGGCTTTGCTTCCAAAGCTCAAATTGCAGGCATCCTCCACATTGTCTTTTTTAACAACATAAATTACTGCCAAAATGGGTCTTAAAGTCCTGCTGATGGCTGGTGAAAAACCACAGAACACTTTCATTTTCAGTTTCATTAAAGGAATAAAGGAATAGTTCACCCAAAAATGAAAATTATCATTAATTACTCACCTTCATGTCGCTCCAAACCCGCAAGACCTTTGTCCATCTTCGGAGAATACTTTTACAAGATAATATTTTTTGTGTGCAAAGAAAACTAAAATAACAACTTTATTCAACAACTCTTCTCATCCGCGTCACCCTAGGGCACCATTTTGGAGAGTATCACAGTAATACAGTAAAGCAGTATTTCCTGCACGTAATCAACGCATGCATATGATGCTGCTGACATGAAACACGCATGCACTGCACCTTGTTTACATTTAGAGGAGAGCGCACGCATGCGTCGTGGTACTCTCCAAAATGGCGCCCGTAGGGTGACACGGAGGAGAAGAGTTGTTGAATAAAGCTGTTATTTTAGTTTTCTTTGCACACAAAAGAGTATTCTTGTAGCTTTATAAAATTATCATTGAATCACTGATGTCAACTGGATCATTTTAACGATGTTCTTACTACTTTTCTGGACCATGATCGTGGTAGTACCCTTGCTGTCTGAATAATTAATGATTGTTCTATCATTCTAGCTATCTATCATTCTATCTACATTCTATCTATTGATCGTTCTATCTATCTATCTATCTATCTATCTATCTATCTATCTATCTATCTATCTATCTATCTATCTATCTATCTATCTATCTATCTATCTATCTATCTATCGTTCTGTCTGTCTGTCTATCTAGCTGTCTGTGTGTGTGTGTGTGTGTGTGTCTGTCTATTTCTGTTTGTCTGTATATCTATTTCTCTATCATTCTATCTATCCTTCTGTTTATAATTCTATTGTTCTATGGTTCTATCAGTATGATTTTCAGTTGTCTTTAGGACAAAGACTCATTGTGATGCTGGCAGTGACCGTGTGTCTTCTCCGCTGAATATTATGGTTGGAGAAGAATCTCTTGGCTGAATGGTAAGCTCTGTCTCTAGAGGGGGAAGTCTACCTGTGTTTCTCCCTGATCCCATTGTTTGAAGTGCTGCACAATGTCTCATCAAATGAACCTCAGAAGAAAACTCTCAACCCTTTGATGCTGTGGAGTACACTCACGGCTCTAATAAGGATATATGTCTGGGGACAGTTCAGTGTTTAGTGGCATCTTCCTGGTAGAGTCAGAACCCCATATTGAATAATAAACACAGAAGTCATAGCACTGGTTTCTGTGAGTTTTGCTCTGTCTATATCATGTTTAGTAACTAGATTTTTAAAATGTCACCACCACAACAGAGTTTGCAGTGTGGTTGCTAAAGTCTTGTGAGTAGTGTAGAGTATGTTGTTTCTCGGGTGTTTGAGAGGGTTGCTAAGGCATTGCTATATAAAAATACTTAAAAAGCGTACATTTTATGATTAGAAACATAATAGCACACTGCTCCTCACAAGATTTTAACCCACAAGATTTGAGCCATCACTCATATCCATAGCACAAATGTGTGGGACAAGTTGTGCGCTGGCATTTAGTATTTAGGCTCAAGTTTGAGCACTGCTGATAATAAATGAATATGGTACGGTCATACGCCTGAGTGAGTCAGTAACTGAGTGCTTACTTTGGGAATCTCAATCATATGCACCCTCTTGTTTTGATGAATATGTTGTCCTTATGAAATTATCATAATCCTTTACATCTGTCTGCATTATATGATGAACTGCACCGCCACCAAGCATGGCTGTAAAAAAATCTTAATTCCCTAAACCAGAGCGGTTGACTAATCAGAGTTTGAAATAAGCCTCTCGCAGCTTTCAAGCCTGCACAAAGGAGAATGGATATTCATCATCAGAAATCCACCATTGCTGATAATCACCCTTAGATTTCAGTGAGAATTTCATGTGGATTGTGCCTCAAAATAGTTATAACCCAAACACGAGTAGTGAAAACACAATTTCTTGTGCTATTGTTCGGTAGACTCAGCTGCACAGGGTCCAGGGAATTAAGTTGGACACGGTCAGGTGCTTGGAATTCAGATAGCTTAAACACAACTTTAAAGCCTAAGACAGCAGGGTTTTCCACAGAATGGCACCTAATCTAAAATGCATCATGGGATGCAGCACCATTGTTATCCTGTCCACCTCGGCCTGCCTCCTTCCATAAGCTATTGCTCTCGCAAAATAGAAATTGCACTCAATGATCGTGGTAGTACCCTTGCTGTCTGAATAATTAATGATTGTTCTATCATTCTAGCTATCTATCATTCTATCTACATTCTATCTATTGATCGTTCTATCTATCTATCTATCTATCTATCTATCTATCTATCTATCTATCTATCTATCTATCTATCTATCTATCTATCTATCTATCTATCTATCTATCTATCTATCTATCGTTCTGTCTGTCTGTCTGTCTTTCTGTCTATCTAGCTGTCTGTGTGTGTGTGTGTGTCTGTCTATTTCTGTTTGTCTGTATATCTATTTCTCTATCATTCTATCTATCCTTCTGTTTATAATTCTATTGTTCTATGGTTCTATCAGTATGATTTTCAGTAGTCTTTAGGACAAAGACTCATTGTGATGCTGGCAGTGACCGTGTGTCTTCTCCGCTGAATATTATGGTTGGAGAAGAATCTCTTGGCTGAATGGTAAGCTCTGTCTCTAGAGGTGGAAGTCTACCTGTGTTTCTCCCTGATCCCATTGTTTGAAGTGCTGCACAATGTCTCATCAAATGAACCTCAGAAGAAAACTCTCAACCCTTTGATGCTGTGGAGTACACTCACGGCTCTAATAAGGATATATGTCTGGGGACAGTTCAGTGTTTAGTGGCATCTTCCTGGTAGAGTCAGAACCCCATATTGAATAATAAACACAGAAGTCATAGCACTGGTTTCTGTGAGTTTTGCTCTGTCTATATCATGTTTAGTAACTAGATTTTTAAAATGTCACCACCACAACAGAGTTTGCAGTGTGGTTGCTAAAGTCTTGTGAGTAGTGTAGAGTATGTTGTTTCTCGGGTGTTTGAGAGGGTTGCTAAGGCATTGCTATATAAAAATACTTAAAAAGCGTACATTTTATGATTAGAAACATAATAGCACACTGCTCCTCACAAGATTTTAACCCACAAGATTTGAGCCATCACTCATATCCATAGCACAAATGTGTGGGACAAGTTGTGCGCTGGCATTTAGTATTTAGGCTCAAGTTTGAGCACTGCTGATAATAAATGAATATGGTACGGTCATACGCCTGAGTGAGTCAGTAACTGAGTGCTTACTTTGGGAATCTCAATCATATGCACCCTCTTGTTTTGATGAATATGTTGTCCTTATGAAATTATCATAATCCTTTACATCTGTCTGCATTATATGATGAACTGCACCGCCACCAAGCATGGCTGTAAAAAAATCTTAATTCCCTAATCCAGAGCGGTTGACTCATCAGAGTTTGAAATAAGCCTCTCGCAGCTTTCAAGCCTGCACAAAGGAGAATGGATATTCATCATCAGAAATCCACCATTGCTGATAATCACCCTTAGATTTCAGTGAGAATTTCATGTGGATTGTGCCTCAAAATAGTTATAACCCAAACACGAGTAGTGAAAACACAATTTCTTGTGCTATTGTTCGGTAGACTCAGCTGCACAGGGTCCAGGGAATTAAGTTGGACACGGTCAGGTGCTTGGAATTCAGATAGCTTAAACACAACTTTAAAGCCTAAGACAGCAGGGTTTTCCACAGAATGGCACCTAATCTAAAATGCATCATGGGATGCAGCACCATTGTTATCCTGTCCACCTCGGCCTGCCTCCTTCCATAAGCTATTGCTCTCGCAAAATAGAAATTGCACTCAATATACTTGAGGTTAGATATCTGCAAAGGGAATTTCGACTTGTTTATACGGAGCTAAATGAATATGCCCATGCATTTTATACTAAGGAGTGGTAATGCAGTTTTTTTTTTCAATTTCAGGTGTAAATGAGGTTATTTTTTCCTCCTTTAGGTACGATGCTTATTGTTATATTACAAATAAGTGGTTTTGAAACATGCATTGCTATTTACTATAGTATATATATATAGCATTCAGTAACCTCTAAAGCAATATATTTAACAAAAGCTCTATTAAATTGACTGCTAGCACATTTAGTCCAGCTTAACATATTGCAGTTTCCAGCTCACCATCAATCTCAGGTGAATTTCGTTCACAGATTTTGGACGCTGACCTGGATATGTCTGTACATGAGCGGTTGCTCATTACTGTGAAGCTTATATGGTGTAACTCTTCTTGCTTCCTTTAATCAGATTTCTCTGCTCACGTCTTCAGGCATTGCCGGCAGTCCGGTGCAGTTCAATGAGAATGGAGATGCCCCAGGCCGTTACGATATATATCAGTACCAGATAAAGAACAAAACAGCTGAATACAAGACCATCGGCCACTGGACTGACCAACTTTACCTAAATGTAAGTATATATTAAATTCTTGTCTTGTTTTTCACGCTCATACCATTCCAAACCTGTATTTTGTCATTATTTTTGTCCAACACAAATGTAGGCTTTTTTTTGTCATTTTATAACGAGCTGCACAATAATCTCTACAAAAAAGCAATCCACAGAAAAACAAGCAGCATATGGGTTTGGAGCGATGTGAGAGTGAGCAAACACTGACACGGTTTTCACTTTTTGATGAACTTGACGCACACATCGCTTATGAAAAAGGATTGAAGTATAGCCTTAAGGAAAACTGCTTAAAATTGCTCCTTTGAGATCCTCAAGAATTCATTTAATGAGTCAACGTTTGAGGAAATGAAAACACTCATTTGAGATGTTAAACATTGTTCCGTCATTAGCCGAGATAAATGGTAAATACTGTTTGTTTTTTTGTGATTCAGATGCGGGCGATGCAGTGGCCAGGTGGAGGGAAGCAGGTGCCGACTTCCATCTGCAGTCAGCCCTGCAAACCCGGGTGGCGCAAGAAGATCGTTAAGGGCATTTCCTGCTGCTGGCACTGCGAGCGCTGCGATGGTTACCAGTATCAGTACGACCTCTACTCCTGCAAGATGTGCCGCTTTGATTTAAGACCTAACAAGAATCACACAGGCTGCCAGCCTATTCCGATTGTAAAGCTGGAGTGGAGCTCACCCTGGGCAGTCATACCGGTCCTGATCGCTATTCTCGGCATCATAGCCACTCTTTTTGTTGTGGTCACCTTCATTCGCTACAATGACACGCCGATTGTTAAGGCATCCGGACGGGAGCTCAGCTACGTCCTGCTTACGGGAATCTTTCTGTGTTACGCCACCACCTTCCTGATGATCTCGACCCCAGATATAGGGATCTGTTCACTCAGGCGAATTTTCCTGGGGCTCGGGATGAGCATCAGCTATGCGGCGCTGCTCACCAAAACCAATCGGATTTATCGGATTTTCGAGCAGGGAAAAATGACAGTGAGCGCGCCACGCTTTATCAGTCCGGCTTCGCAGTTGGTAATTACCTTCAGCTTGATTTCCGTTCAGCTCCTAGGGGTGTGCATCTGGTTCGCAGTGGACCCTTCCCAAGCTCTCATTGACTACGAGGACCAGCACACGGCAGATCCCGAGATGGCTTGCGGAGTCCTAAAGTGCGACATATCAGACTTGTCGCTCATCTGCCTCCTGGGATACAGCATGCTGCTGATGGTGACGTGCACGGTGTACGCCATCAAGACGCGAGGGGTGCCCGAGACCTTCAACGAGGCCAAGCCCATCGGCTTCACCATGTACACCACCTGCATCATCTGGCTAGCTTTCATCCCCATTTTCTTCGGGACGTCGCAGTCGACGGAAAAGGTAAGAGCAGATGAGTGAGTGCAATTCCTCAAGACCTTGGCAATCAAGCGTTTTAAAGTAACAACAGCATTTACCGCCCTAGCTTCCTACAAAACATGCCATTCAGTGCAGTCCATTTTCTGCAAAAAACAGACCAGCGGGAACAAATTGACTATGTTCATTTGGGCCTCACATCAAGCAGAGCGGTAAAACAGACAGTTTATTTCAAAGAGAAATCGAGAATCGTGAGGTTTGGTGCGCTACAGCGCAAAACTCACGTGGTTTCCTTCGAATATTGAAGAGGACATGTGCGGCTGAGAAAAACAAAGGCACTCTCTTTTGCCCATCTAGCACTGTGCTCTCAAAGATAAAAGAGACTTTGAAAATAGCAAGGAGATTGAACGTCAGCTTTTTGTAGATGATGTAATCAACTGACAAGCACCGACTGACTTAGAATATCGAACATAAAGGCTCTTCATTTTGAGGCCGAATTATATATGCAACTACCCTGGCATTGGCTGCATTACTCATTTCAATTAGAAAACCTGGGACCTTCTGTTTCTGAAGCTTAAGATAAGGGCTTTCTTGTTTTTCAATTTGAATTTTATTTAATTAGTGTCTCCCTTAGCAAAGCCTTAAACAAGCAATTTCAGCAATTTGAGTATTGTTATACTTATTGGTAGGGAGCCATTACTGCATTAAACCCAGATTCCCCACTGTGCCTTTTTTAACCACCGTTTGAATGATTCATTCAGATATAAGATTGTATGAACTGACTTAGCTAATTGCATGTTACCTTAAACTACGTTCTGCCTACACCAATCCCAAAGAAACAAATAACTATATTTCTGCTAGTCAGAGAAAATCATAACGACGGTAACTGTAACCCTGTATCACATGCTGTTTCCTCTCTTCTCTTTTTTTCCCACCGTTTCCCAGGCATCTGATTCTTTAATCTACACCATATCAGGTTTTAGTGTGAATTTACGGCATTCCTGGCAACTAGCTGACGTACTTTCAGTCACTTTTACAATAATTTTTCAGTGCAATTTTCTGTGAGCAGTCTTTGACCGATTTAGCAATTAGTGGTGATCGTCTGAGTGATCGAACTGCAATCTGTCTCATTTTTATCTTGGAATGCATTTATGCTTTTCACGATGGGATAGTTACAGGATATGATGAGTAAAAAAAGCATGAAGGAATGAAGTTATGAAATTAAAAATTTGTCAGGTTCCTTTGAGTACTTGAATGAATGGCTTCCTAAAAACTCAGAACTTAGTTTTATGTCAAAAGATATCAATTCAGTGAGCTGTTAAAATTTCTAATCGTGATGTTATGGTTTACATTTTAGTCTTTACTTTAGCAATTGAGAAAATACTCTATTACAGACCTGATCTAGAGGCTATTGCAGTATGAATAAATTAAACGGTTACAATTTTTATCACTATTTGCTTTTATTTTGTTTTTGCTGCAGTAGAACAACAACAGTGTGATATTGTTTAAATGCAACGCACTATGCTTTTTTATAAAGTAATGTAATTACCAAATAAAATGACAGTATGCTTTGATTTCAAAGTAAAACTATCAGTTTTGTAAAATGCTGGTAATTTTTGACAATATTATACACTCAAGTTCTGTCAGTCCTCTCATGGTGTAATCAGGGCTTGATGTTAATTCTGCTCTGTACATCACAGGACTGAAGAAATAGTTTTAACAATTAGTTTTGCGTAGAAAATAAAGCATGCATCCTATGACAAAATCCCACCGCTGTGTGCTCAACAAACAGTGTTTTCAGAGGGGAATTAACATATCAGAACAAGAGCACCTCACAATCATCCAGGCTGGCAAGCACAATAAAGCCTGGCGAGTCAGAGATGACATGTCTTTTTAGAGCAATTAAATGCCTCACTTCCTCCTAGCCTGTGATTTACCTTATCTCTCTGCCTGTGCACTTGTCACACGATTTCTGCCAGACGCCTCATCAGCATGCCGGCTCCATCAGTTGTTTGTCATCTTATGTCAAAGTGAATAATGAATGTCTTTGGAGGCTTTCTGGAACATTTGAATGTGGGCAGCTGGTCTGGTCCCTGCTGAATTTTGATCAGCCTGTCAAATGATTAATCGGAGGGTCATCTTATTGTGGTTTAACCAAAAGATTCTTAAATGAGCTAGTCTGGCAGGTAGGCCTCATTGGGGTCTAAGGGCTTTAGCATGCTTCCTTCCTGGATTTCAGACGGATCCAGATGGATTTTTGATTGCTTTGTTGGGTAAACTTGAATGCATGTCCAAAATCTGACTATTGATAAAAACCTTTCTGTCTAAAATAAAACTGTTTAGTTAAAAAAAGAAGCACAATCATTTTCAGCATCTTAAAAATGAAAGTGTGGATTATAATAGATTAAAAAAGCAATCAAATGAATGCAATTAAGTAGCTTTTCCCATCCTTAATATATTAAGTGCTGGAAAATGTAAAAAAAAAAAAAAACATTGGAAAGTGCATCCTGAAAATTCTGTCATTACTCATTTTTCCATTTTATTTTATTTTCTCTCTCTCTGTTTTAATGTTTCCATTTAAATTTTCAGTTTTAGTGGTTAATCAAAAAGCATGTGTAATTAATTGAAATTATGAAACTTAAACTGAAAAATGTAATTGTTTAAGTTTATTGGAGTATGTTTTATATGAACATACTATTTCAGGCTTTCTACTTTAAAATGTCACATTTAATTCAATGTGTTTTTTGCTGATTCTTTGTAATTCTATTATAATTACATTATTATAAATATACATAATTATATCTACATTTAGATATAGGGTCCTATGAAATCTGTTTTATTTTATCACAGATTATGTTTTATTTTTCCAAAATTCTGTATTACTAATTAATTAATTAATTAAAATAAATAAATAAAACGGTTCCTTTGACTTTTCACCTATGCATCTATAGAATATCATGATATATTTCAAACCCTCCTCTGAATAAATGGCAGGTTTCTGGCACAGCTTATTGGGAGATAATTTCGCCATGACATTTTTGGATTTATTTATTTGTCAGGGACATTAAACATGATTTTTTTTCACATTCAAAACTTCACATTGATGTACATGTGCCAGATTATGTGAAGATGCCTTGTTTTCATCTGATATCCCTGAACAAGTTGATATTACAATTCATATTGTGCAATGAAACATTGTAAGCAAAACTTATAAACCCTTCTTTCTGTTGCTGGATGTTATCACAACCTCTCTCATGTTGGTTTTGAGGAAGCTTGATAATATCTTAAGTCAAGCATTTCAACTTACATGGACTGCTATTTGTATGCATCTCCGCCCTCCAAAACTGGAAGCTATTGTTAGAGTGCCATCATGTTACCATGCCATAGGGTTCACTTGCAGTGGCTTTCCTCCTTTGTGTTGCTGACAGGGTAATCACTGTCTCTTTCTGAGCGAGGTCAACATCTCGTATTTACATGCAGGTGTGTGTCAACGATGTGACAGGTGTGGTAGCGGGGGGGGCCTGACCTCTGTTAAATGTCAGTTTATTTGACATTCCCGTTATTGAACTCCTTCAGTCTGTCATTCATTTGCTGTCACCTAAATGAGTACCTTGTAAAGACAGATGCATGAGTGCATTTTTTTCTGAAAATTAAAAAATAGCTTCTCACGGATATAATTAAATACATGATCGTAAGCTTGGTACACTCTGCTATGAAATATAATAAAGGAAAATGCATTTATAATAGTATTACAGTGGGAGGAATAATAAAACACTTACTTTATATTGTGCTTTTGGCCAGAGCTCAAACACAAGTACCGTTTCCCCTACTAACCTGTGAAGCATTGCTCAGTCAAACAGGTGCTTCTGCTCCCAAACTCACGTGATTGGTTGAGCCAGAAGTTCATAGGATGCAATAACATGGGATTGGAGACAGTCTGTTAAAGAAATAGTTCACCCAAAAATAAAATATTTTCTTAAATTTTAAAGCATATTAAAGGATTTTAAATGTGGATAATGCATAGTTCATTTGAATGACAAACATTCACATCCCTTTGAACGGTGTTTTTCACAGCACCGCTATTAACATGAGACCTACTTCTTTCTTAAAAAAGCCTCTGATGTTGACATAAGACCTACTTCCTTTTAAAAAATGGCAGTTAATTTTTTGTTCTTTATCCCAAGAGATAATTTGGCAGCAGCAGGTGAAGAAGTGGCAGAATCAGTTGTTGTATTATTAAAGTCGATGGTGTTCCGGGTGTACGTTTTATCAAGTCATCCATTTATATGTGGGAGTGCAATAACGGCAGCCTTTTTTTAACTTGTAGTTTCAATTCGAGGGCAAAAAAGTGGAACACTTTGTATGTGTTGAGACAACAGAGACTGTCTCAAAGGACTAACCCTGATTCACTGTCTAGTTCCCATCTCAGTATTTCTCACAAGCCTCATTAGATACAGGTGTGCTGTCTGCACATACAGAGCCCGAGGCGAAGGCATTGATGAGATACCGCTATGAATCGTGTGTCGTGATGCGTCATTAAATCCTCATTTGTGACTGTAATTGCAACTTCAGGTTCAGCAAGATTAGTGAGAGATTTCGACGTATAGACCAAAGCTAATCATTTCGGGCTGGTTTAATCACTATGTATGGACCGCTCGCTTTCCTTTCAGGTGATTTGTTGGACCCCTGCAATAGATTTTCTGGTTAAATTTGGAAGTGTGACTCTGCTGACTAAGTGGCCAAGGACTGTATTTTACAATACCTTTTGTCTGAGCCATGGCCTTGTGGTTAGACCTCCGACATATTGAGCGGTGACAAGCGACATATCATATATGTCCTCTCTCAACTATGCTTTATATTTCACTGAAGAAATTTGAGCGGTGCTTAAATTCTACAAGACAGTAGGGTGTTGTTAGTGGTTGGCAGGGCATTGCTTTGCTATTGTTAAGGTGTTTTGAATGGCTGCTTGGGTATTCTGGGTGATTGCTATGTAATTGCTCTCTAGCCCAAGTCAAATGTAATTCTGT